AAGTAAAGGGTCTCCGGGGTCGTGAAGCCTAGGGGCTTTTCAGGTTTGTTTGTTGATGATTCGGGGGGTTCGTGAGGGCTCATTGGCATGCCTTACCATGGGCAGGGCATGGGAAAGTCATTTTTCTCAAAAACCGACTACCAGACTTGATCCACTGAAGCCAGGACTATGTTCGTGGAGTGATTGCGGCGCTTCGCTTTTGGAGCCCACAATGGCTAAGCATGAACGGGCCCTGAGCCTGGAGCCTTAAGCGCCAAGACCCGAAACCGTTACTTCATCCATCTTCTATTTGAGGCGGGGGGGTGCAAGGGCCCATACTCCCCCCAAGCAAGCCCTCCCCACACCTTCGCGCTCCCTCACTGCCCCCTGCGCCCCAACGGCGCCGACCCTGGAGGGCCTATGCCACTGAACCGCCACATTCCGAAACCCCATGTAGGCCATGTAATGGTCAACAGCTCAAATCCCCAAGCATTTGAAGCCTGCGTAAATCCCAAAGACCCTAAACACTATGAACCTTCGAGCCTACGAACCCTAAACCATAAACCTAAACTCTCAACCCTTAACTCTGAACCCTGAAAACCGAAACGCAAACAGAGCCCCGCACCCTCGTTTCCATGGGGATGGCAACCTGCAGGACTACCACAAAGGGCTTCGGGAGATGATGAACTGACTTAGAGGGTTTTAGGGATTTTTGGGGGTTAGGTTTAGGTTTAGGGATTGGGGCTCGCATGGGTTAGAGCAGGGGTCATCTATGCAGGGTTGGCAAGGGTTAGGGTTTAGGAGTGTTTGGGTTAGGGTTTAGGTTTTAGGGTTTAGGGTTTAGGGTTTAGGGTTTAGGGGTTTTGGGTTTAGGTTTAGGTAGGTTTAGGGTTTTAGGGTTAGGGTTTAGGGTTTTAGTGGTTCAGGGTTGGATAGTGGCAAATAGGGCTCGGGTCTGTAAACCTCGAGTCTTCTCTTGCCATCTGCATCATGGCACGCTTCCTGTCTGCCCTCTCTCAGGACAAGGCACGCCACCCCGAAGGGTCTGTCAGTGCCCAAGAATCTGCATGCCTAGGCCTAACCCTAAACCCTAACCCTAAACCCTAAACCTTTAGGCCCTAAACCCAAACCCTAAAACCTAAACCCTAAACCCGAACCCTAAACCCTAAACCCTAAACCCTAAACCGAAACCCTAAACCCTAAACCCAAACCCTAACCCTAAACCCTAAACCCTAAACCCTAACCAACGCTTTGCAACAAGCCCGGACCACTCCAGGACCTTCGTCCCTCTGTAAGCTTCAGCATACATGTTGGGATCGTAGGCATCCGGCTGGGGGCCCATTGCCTGAGTGGAGTTCGGGGACAGGGCTTAGGGCTTACATAGGTTAGGGGACTAGGGTTTAGGGTTCAGGGTTTAGGGACACATAGGGTTAGGGGACGAGGGTTTAGGGTTTTATAGGGCATAAGGGCAATGAGGGAAGGACTTGGCAGGGGGATTGCGCAAACCCAACACCTTAAACCTGAACATATGTTGTATAGTCTACGAACAATGGTGTAAACAATATGTAATATGTATATATCGATATATACATACATATATATACATATATATTATATAGAGAGACATGCCACCACCTCCTCTGCCTCTGGGGCACGGGCATCTGGCCTGGCCCGTGTGGGGCATCTGCCCGGAGCCCATAAGCGTGTGGCCATGGCCACGGCGATGCCGATGGCCGCCCCAGCGCTGGCGTAGTCCACGGAGGGAACTCCTGGCCTGGCTGGGTTTAGGGTTTGGGGTTTGGGGTTTTGGGGTCTGGGGTTGGGGTTGGGGTTTAGGGTTAGGTTTAGGATAGTAGTAGGTTATAGTGGATTCTATTGCGATCTATGACGTCGTCATATTGTTATGTCGTGTATGGTATCAATACGTCAGCAAATTGCGTTTTTGTAAGATAGTGAATCCATGCTGTACAGTGTACATATATATATATATATTGAAGTATGTAAAGCAATAACAGAGCTGTTATTGAATTACTTGCCTTCCTAGCGGCCTCAAACTCAGATGGATGAATATGGTTTCAGACTCATCAGAGGTTCGAAGAGGTCGCTCGAAGTTCAGCAGAAAAAGTTGCTGCTCAAAAGAGCTGGGAAAAAAAACACGTTTGGGAGAAAACCCTGTGCCAGGGAACAGCGCGACTCGAGCTCAGACTCATTGAGCGAAACGTCGAGAGTGGCTCTGATCGGCAAGTCTGGGTTCAAGGTATACGCTGCCCTGAATCACCCAAAACCCAAAACCAAAACCCTAAACCCAAATCCTAAATCCTAAACCCTAAAAACCCTTCGAACTCCGTAGCCCGACTCCTGCTGAGCCGCTTGGGGCACGAACTCAGGAGCCTGCCAGGCGGCTACAGGGCCCTGGAAAGAGTAGCCGGCCAAAGCCGAATGAACCCTGGGGTTTAGGGTTAGGGGTTTAGGGTTTAGGGTTTAGGGTTTAGGGTTTGTAGGGTTTAGGGTTTAGGGTGGTAGGTTTTAGGGTTTACAGGGTTTGTAGGTAGGGTCTTCGGCCCAATTCCTTGGCCGTTCCGTCAGTGTACTTGCCGATCCCATGGTAATGGGCGCGAGGTGCTTCCGAAAACCCCCCCCCCCCCCCCTCAACCTCCGAATCAAAAACACCAACCCCCCCCCCTCCCCACACCCGACCCGAAGCCCCTCCAGCGCACTCCCCCCCATGTTTCCCGAGGCCTGGTGTGCCTGGTGTGCTTGATGCGCCTCAGGCCGCCACGACACGGCAACTACAAGACTAGAGTCTCATAAGCCGAAGGTGCTGAAAAGGAAGCCTTCGTTCTCCAGTAATAAGCAAGGAACAAACAAGGTTAAACTTCATTATTCCTAGTATATACAGAGACCCAACAAGTTTAAAGTTCAACTATGAAGTACGTAAGAAGCATATCCTTGAAGCTCGGGGCCTTGAATCTTGGGACCCTGAGGCTTGTGCGGGACGGGGCTTGCGACTGGGTTAGCCTTCGCAACCCTCAGCAAGGTCCTATGATCCTCTTAAATCCATATAGATGGGAAAATAAAAATATCCCTAAACCCTAACCCCTAAACCCGAAACCCTAAACCATATGCAAGTCTGAGAAGGATCCTCTGAACCCCAGCAAATGGAAAACATAAACATCTCCCGACAGCCTTCAGGGCTTAGGGATTCGGGGTTTTGCGTTTGGGGCGCCGCGTCTTGTCGACCCTCGGGTCGTATCCGTTGCAAGGCCCGATTGGATCCCTAAACCCCAAACCCTAAAATCCTAAACCCGAAACCCGAAACCCTAAACCCTAACCCTAAACCCTAAACCCTAAACCCTAAACCCTAAACCCTAAACCCTAATACCAGCCAGGAGACAGGTGCAGGAGCTGGTGCAGGTAGCTGGTCAGCCAAGCGGAGCTGCACGATGCCTGTCTCTTCGACCATGGGTTTGGGTTTAGGGTCAGAGCATATGGCTGAGGGGGTTTAGGGTTTAGGGTTTAGGGTTTAAGGTTTAGGGTTTAGGGCTACTTGGAGGTTCACGGTACTTAGAAGTAGGGTTATAAGTAGGGTAATTATGGTTCTAGCCTTGTTTAAGTAGGGGTGCTTCAGGGTTTGAGGGGCGGGTCTTTTGGAGCCGTGTGGTGCTCATGAGCTCACTGCTTTTTGGGAACTTCCAATACACCAGAAACAGCGAATTTCGCAAACCATGTGAATGCCCAAAATCCAGACCTCTAATTGTAGTTCCCCTTCTTGGTGGGTACCTAACTTTGTGGTTATTCAAATGGAGTGGGATGAGAGTAGAATAGAATCAGTCAGATACCCGAATGAAGCACCCTTGAGGGTCCAGGAATGGGGCTAAGGGATCTAACCCTCAAGCGATAAGGTCACTTCGGGATAAGGCGGCCCCACCTATTTAGGTACCCAAAAGGGACCCTGAACCCTAAACCCTAAACCCCAAAACCCACCATTTCACGATGGAATCAACCCGTGTTGGTGGCGGCGCCTGGGCAGAACTCGTGGACCACCGGAGGCTGCAGGGGCGGCGGATGTTGCGGCACAAGGGCCTTGATCATCGGGGTTCAGGGTTTAGGGTTTAGGGCTGCTGCTGGGGGAATTCGGGAGGACCTATTGCCAGACACCCCACAGAGCAGGCCAAACAGAATGCGGAGCCTAAGGTATTAAAGGCCAAAAAAACATCAGAAACATAAGGATCCTACAAACCATGGCTCGCCAGGCCCTTGCAGCCAATAGTAGGATCCTTATGTTTCTGTGGTTTTTAGGCCCCGCAAGGTATGCGATGCTTGGCACGAGGTGTGGATGTAGGGGTTCGCTCATTAGCTCTGCTTGAACGGTCAGGCCAAAAAGGACCACCACACTTCGGAAGATCAGAGGGTTTGGGGTTTAGGGTTTAGGGTTTAGGAGGAGCTCCGCCGCATTGTGTTTTCAAGATCACATGGCTGATCGCCGGGAAGAAATTCGATCTCCCCGGCGCATTGATGCATATTCGGGGGTTTCCGAATTTAGGGGGACCTTACTGGGGTCCTTGTTATAAGGGAATCCTACTCTTTAGGGTCTCTTCTAGGGGTCCCCTATTTTCGGAAACCCCATTTGACACCGCTCCAGAAGAGCTAGAAGCTGTAAGGCACTACGAAAAGAGGGCGTGGGCAGCTTGACTGTCCGACGCAGCCGTCGTAGGGCCGTCGCTGAATCAGGTCCGGGGCTGGAAAGCATCCGGCGCAAAACTGGCAAGTTGCAGAAGCGAGTGACTCGAAAAAGCTGCGGCTCTCGCAGAAGACCAGAACAGCTTACTGGTATGTGGCACGAAGTTAGTGAAACCATTGCACTTGGTAGGGGGTGGTCGGGACCACCATGGGACATCAGACAATGGCACAAGGATGGCGATTTATTGCAAAACCCTCGTGAGAACCGCAGCGCAGCCGAGCGCAAAGCACCTCCAAAAACGAATTCTGAATTGGCCATTGTATACCAACCCTAGCTGCGTCTATGGCTTGCTGTCGAAATCATTTCCGGCCAAGGTTGGCAGAGCTCCTTGCGTCGGGGGCTTCGCCTGAGCCTTCGCCCTCAGGTGCTGCCGAAGGTTGAAGAGGCCGGACATCAGGTTGAGCAGGAAGAAGAAGGAGTTGCAAATGATCGTGATCCAAATCATCGAGGTCACGGCCGACTCGGCTGCGGCAAGCGCCTCGCTCATCCGGGCTTCAGCCTCCGTGGTCAGGGACACGGCAGTCTCGATAGCACGGGGCCGCTGTGTGGCCGAGTCCAGTCCGGGCGCCTCGATGATGTTGCACAGGGTGCCATTCGGAAGGCCAAGCGAAGCAGCACACGCCGTTTGGCTCACCACCTGGCTTGGGTCTCCATCTAGGGCGGCGAACTGAAAATGCAAGAAGAAACACCACGTGAACCCCTTCTAGTTAACTCACCACAACCCTGCCAAACATCATTGCCACACCTGGATCCCCATGGTAGCCGCATCTAGCTGAGCGTGGACCTCGGCCTCGTTGCCGCAGAGCTTCCTTCAGGGCTTCGCGCAACAACCCATGTCAGGGTGTGTAGCACAATTATGGGGGCGGAACTCGATTCTGGGGGGATTCGCGGAAGGTTTCCCTGAGGTTCAGGGTTTAGGGTTTAGGGTTTAGGGTGTTAGCTGCGCACCCGGTGAGGGGGCAGATGGCGGGCTCCAGCTGCTCCGGCACCACCGGAGCCCCAGAGGAGTCGAGCGTCGGCACCAAGCAGTTGCCTCTTCAGAGAGAGGGGCCATTAGGCCTTATCATCCCCACAATCAACCCAAAAAAGGGCCTTTTAGAAGGGGTTATAGGGCATAGGGCGTTTTTAAGGGGTTGTAGAGGGTATAAAGGCCCAGCAGTCTCGGGCTTATAATATACCTGGGACCCTCCTTACCTACAGTTTTATGGGATACAGTATACCGTGTTATGCCTACCAATCAAGGAATCAAGGGTGTGTGGCCTCTGTAGGACCCACAGAACTGCTCGGACACCTGGTCTGCGCAGGACTCCATGCCCATGACCGAAGCGCATGTCTGCACCGTCTGGGTCATGCGGCTATAGGTGATGGAGTAGCCTCGCGCCGCCGTGCCTGCTAGAACGTCCTCCACTGCCATGGCTGTCTCCAACTGCATCACCATCTCGCCACGGCCCCCGATGGGGTAGACCGCGTCGCCAGCTAAGTGCGCCGTTTCACTCCGCGTGTACGGCGCGCCGACGCCACCGTTCGCCAGGTCCGTGACGTTGGGAGCCAACGCGACTTCCTCGAAACCAGCAGCCAAGACGGTCATCTTTGCCTGGCCCGGGTTGGTGCAAGCAGTGGTGACCGTCGTGTTTGCATAGAGCCCGTAAGGGGGAGACCCAGGATGCAAGCCCATACCCTCTGCGAGTGGGGAAGGCATGCTCACGCCCGATAGCCTGATGCCATCAGGCAGCGGCGTGTCGCACTGGAGAGGCACGTAGAAGGGCGTCCATCGCACTTTCTCCGTGATCGCCCAAATCAGAATTGCGAAGTTGAGTGGAGCGCTGCACAGCCCGACAATGGCCTTCACTTTGGGTGAGCAGCATCCCTTCTTGCAGCAGCCCATGGCTCTGAAGGCAGCTATAGGCGAGGGGCGTTGGTGATTACTGGGGCGGACTTGAGAGCAGGATGGCTGCCCATGCAAAGTCTAACTCAGAAGCATGGCGCCATGGCTACCAAAGCTGGGGGTCGAGGTTTCTTGCACATGCTTTTGAGGGAGCTGGACGAACGAAAAGACCTGGAATTTGGGATGTTCCCCCCCTTATACTAACAGTCATTAATCGGGAGTATAATAGCGGGTATCATAATCCCTATTAAGGACTGTTAGTAGAAGGGGGAACATCCCCAACATGGCATGCTCCAGCGCTTGGCTCTGAATGCGCCCAAGTGCCAAGCCTGCTGGGCAGGGGGCGCCTGCGGAGGTGGCGACCTGAAATTCGCAGGGCTCGTGTAGAGGGCCTGGGTTTAGGGTTTAGGGTTTAGGGTTTAGGGTTTAGGGTTAGGGTTTAGGGTTTAGGGTTTGGGGTTTGGGGTTTGGGGTTTAGGGTTTAAGGTTTAGGGTTTGCTTGTAGGGTCACGCCTGCAGTGCCACCTCCAGAGATCACATCAGAAGCTGCCAAGACGACCAGCGCTCATCTGATCAAGCTGAGCCTTGTAGTGCTACTTCCTAAACACATTGAGCCCTTTAAACCCTTAAACTGCTGAACCCTTAGACCCTCAACCCTAAACCCTAAACCCTAAACCCTAAACCCCAAACCCTAAACCCTAAACCCTAAACCCTAAACCCTAAACCCTAAACCCTAAACCTTAACTGGGTTCACAACATCCTCGGCGACATCGAGGCCGGGGATGACGTCGAGGGCGCTTGCGACTCACCTCCGTGACCACTTGAAGGCTTCGGGGGCTCAGGGGGCCCGGGGTGTAGAGGATGCAAGCCTTAAACCCTAAACCCTAGACCCTAAACCCTAAACCCTAAACCCTGAACCCTAAACCCTAAACCCTAAACCCTAGCGCTAAACCCTACACACCCCCAAAGGCCCCGAGAATGAAGTCTGAGCCGGATTCTGAGATAGAACCCCCCGAGCCCGAAAAGCTGAACTGATCGCCTCTAACTTCGAGTTCAGGGGCTTGGAGTTTCGGGGTCTGGGGATGGTTCAGGGATTTCCGGGCTTCCACAGGTTCGATGGATCTAGGGCTTAGCAAGAACAGGCCCGAGTGCGAAGAAGTGCAGCGTGGGTGCAGCCTCGCGTGGGCGCTGGGAAGCTGGGCGGCCTCGAAAAATGGCTTTGGCCGAGGGTTTAGGGTTTAGGGTTTAGGGTTTAGGGTTTGGTGGTGGATGCTTTCGGTGGTATAGGGTTTACAAGATCGGCTTCGGGCTTTTAGGACACGGGTGAAGCTGTGAGGGGAAGAAGGGCTGTTGAGGTATTGCGTGAGGGGTGTTCGGGGGTGAGGCAGTATGGAGCAGGCTCTGTGGATTGACATTGTGAAAACACCCTGAACCCTAAACCATCTGGTTAAAATCGAGGCCGAACTTGCTCACCTTAGGATCCTACGGCTCCTTGCCCGAATCAGGAAAGCGTCGAATCTTTGGATTCCGACTGGTCGTTGGCGGAATACAGCAGTCATCCGAGGAATTACATCCTCACAACTTGAATCCTGCTTCATGCCCTGAACCTTCTAAATTCCCTAAACCCTAAACCCTAAACCCTAAACTTTTTAAACCCTAAACCCCCTCAAGACCTCAGAGCTGGCGCTACGAAAGTTCGGGCACACCCAGCCTGGTCGGGGGCTGCAAAGTCGACCTGTGAGCCGACAGGTCACGGGCTTGAATTCATCAAGAGGGCGGTTTTTTTGGGGCCAAAATCCTAAACCCCTAAACCCCTAAACCGACCCTAAAACCTAAACCCTAAACCCTAAACCCCTAAACCCTGGAAACCCTGAACCCCTAAACCCCTAAACCCCCGACCGCAAACCCTAGACAGACCCTAAGGGTTCAGGTTGTAAGACAAAAAGTAAAGTGTACAGGACCTTCAGGATCGAGCGCTACCCTGCGTCCTAGGTGGCCCTGTTTGTCAAGTAGACTCGGTCTCGTAGACGTCTGGTAGACTCTGAGACTCCCTACACCTGAAATCTCCCCACCTATCAGAAATTAACCCTAAAGGGTTCAGGTTTCAACCCTGAAACTGACCGCCAGCAAAATGGGTTGTGGTCTTGCTTTACATCCCTGGGGCTCCAGCCCATTGCAGGCGGGCAGGCTTAGTGGCATCGCTCCTGCCCCGTTTGAGGGGGTTATGTTGTGTTTAGGGCCTGGGGTCCATGAGGTTTGGGGTTGAAGGTTTAGGGCGCAGGGTTGGGGCTTCAGGTTCAGGATTTGAGGTTGTAGAGCCCAGGGTTTGCAAGCCCTTGGCGAGACGTGCTCTGATGCCTGTTCCCATATACTGAGATGTAGCGCTTCCGACAGCCGCAAGCATCACACCGACCATACGATTGCCTTCTGAAGGTTTCGAGTCAGGGTTTAGGCTTAGTATTTAGGGTTTAGGGTTTAAGGTTTAGGGTTTACGTTTCAGAATTTTGGCAGAAGGAAACACAAGACGAGCGGAGCGCGAAATGGCGAGGTATTCCGAAGAAGCAGCCCAAGACACAGGTATGCCTGGTTTTCATGGTGTGTTCACTAGGAAACTGATTTGCTGGAGGGTATAGGGGGCATGGGCACATAGGGGGGGTCTTTTCTATGTCCCCGTAGTTCAAGTTTCTTCGATACAGAGGACTCAACAAAAGGGTCTACGGTGCAGGGCCACGACTGCGTGCATGCAAGTCCCTACCCAGTCCTGGCTGTACGGGCCCATCGGATGAGGACGTCGACCTTCCCCCCCGCAAGATCGTGTGGGGCTTAGAGGGGCTGTAGCGTTCTGGGGCTTATGTAGGGCCTTAGGCTACTGTTTGCTTAAGCACCCCCCCCCCCCCAAACAAAAAAAAAACTAAATAAACAAAAACAAAACACAAAAAAAAAACAAAAACTCTGTTACCTTTATCAGGAAGACTATGTTCATTTTTCTGGGGGAGGGTTCTTCAGCAATTCGCAACAGGTACTTTTGAGCCCAGGGCCTTAGAAGTAAACAACGAACGACGAGAGAAACCACAATCACTACGACGCCCAGCTATTGGAAGCCGCAATGCGTTGATACTCTGAGGGTTTAGGGTTTAGGGTTTTGGGTTTAGGGTTTTGGGTTTTGGGTTTAGGGTAAAGTTCAGGGATGTTCAGGGTTAATGGCAAAGGCGCCCTAAGCTGCAGTAGCAGACCGCTGCCTGAGAAGCACACGATCTAGCACACGACGAAGAAGAAGCACAGAGAAACTCAACTCCAAAGCGATTCTGCAGAATTCACGTTGCCGCCTCAGCTCCAGTGGGGAGTCGGAGACGAAGCCCATCTCGGCATCGAACTCGTGCAGCTTGCGACGCCTTTGCACTCCACAAAACTTAAGGTTTAGGGTTTGGGTTTAGGGTTTAGGGTTTAGGGTTTAGGGTTTGGGGCTTGCGGTTTGGAGTTTAGGGTTTCGGGTTTATGGGAGCTTGAGAGTGTTTCAGGTTGTACGACCTAGTTGCTGAGTACCCTGGGCCAAACAAAGGTTAACCTTTCAGTTCTGGTAGGCCTCTGTATACTCTAACAGGTTAAAGGTGACCTACACAGCTACTAAGATTTGGGATGTCTTCTCTTATACTAACAGTCCTCAACAGGGATTGTACTACCCCCTATTACAATCCCTATTGAGGACTGTGAATATGAGGAACATCCCAAACTAAGACGATGGTATCAAGGACTCGACGGTTTAGGGCACCTGCTCGGACTCAGCATGCAACTTTGGGAGGCTGTGGGGATCGGAACTTGAACCCTAAACCCGAGGCCCTAAACCCCCTAAACCCCCTAAACCCCCGAAATCCCCTAAACAACCCCCTAAACCCCCTAAACCCCAAACAACCCCCCTAAACCCTGAACCCTGAACCCTAAGCCCTAAGCCCTGAGCCCTGAGCTCTCGCCGTCCTGGAACTCCAGAACCCTGCAATACACCCGAGCCCAGACGCCAGAGGGCTCAGTGCTTCCACGATTTGCTGAAAACCCCCAAAAAAATAAAGAAAGAAAGACAGAAAGAAAGAAAGACAAACATGCCTACTTCAAGCCTATAAGGAAGTATGTCTTCCTTGTTATTTCTTCTTCTTGTCTCCTTTTTTTTTTTGGGGGGGGGGGGGGTGCATAGGCTTAGGGCCTAGGGGATGCATGCGGTGAAAGCCCGCAAGCTTGAGCCCAGAGATGCTCAGGCGCCGGGCCAATCTCCCAGCGAGCGATCGAACTGGCGCTTGGAGACGCGATCCTTGGTAGGGTTTAGGGTTTAGGGTTTATGGGTTATGGGTTTAGGGTTTAGTTTAGGGTTTACGGCTTAGATTTCGAGATGGAAGGGGGGGGAAATCAGGGCATAAGATCCACACCCCTAAACCCTAAACCCGAAACCCCCAAAAATCTTTGTAAGGGAGCGGCAGGTTGCATGATGTCCAACTTTCGATGTTTCAGCCAACAAAGAACACGCCCCAATAAATGCTGATGGTGTGTTGCGAACTCCAAAACCTAAAACTTGCAGGACATAGTTGTATAGCCTCTTCGAGAACTCTTAGAGGGGGGGGCCCACTTAAATTGTGTTGCAATCGTTCTGGGAATCGTGGTGCTGGGAGGGTCAGCTACATGCCCCTGGTCCTTGCCTGTGGCGTAAGATGCGCATTGCAGCTGGCTTGAAAGTGCAGGAGTTCCAACAGATGATTACTTAGAGTTTAGGTTGGGATGTTCCCCCTTATACCAACAGTCCTTAAGAGGGACTATAATAGGGGGTACCAGAATCCCTATAAAGGACTGTTAGAAGAAGCGGGAACATCACCAAAGCTTGGGTTTTATAGGGTGCCACTCCCAAGACCTCCAGCAAAGCACGGCGCTCATCCACTGAGGTGGCTGCCCGCGGGTTTGGTGTCATAGGATGGGCCTGAGAGCGACTCCCGCCCCCCCGCCCCCCCTCCCCGCAATGC